GTGTATAAGTTGAAAAGGTTTCAATGTGCAGTTTGTGGATCCTCCTATATCAAAGTAAAATTTATGCGAAAACTTTAATAACCCAATCATTTATATTACCATACCATTATAAAACAGATGCAAGTTTAAATGTTTAGTTGTAAAGTTGAAATGACTACAACAGTATTAGCACTCACCAATTCCAGTGCGCATATTATGATTGTCTAAACAGCCATAACCTTTATCGTTACCAGGTCTAGGATTTCTATAGTTAGATTTAGTGCCACATAAGCACACACCAGCAGGTTTTGTACATCTTGCATCGAAATTCGTGCAAACCTTTGGATCAGACATACAGCCGTCTTTCCCAACACGAAAGCTGTCCCGAACATTTCGATTGACCCAAACCACTTCGCAGCCAGTCGAAACCACTTTGCAAGACAAATAAATAACCCACACTGAAACAAGCTTGTATTTTAAGGACATACTTATTAAAACAAGTTGACCACTTGGAAAATAAACACAAATTCGTTTGGTATTCCTTACAAAATACTGTATATCGAAGCTCACATTTTGTATACGGGAGAATCATGCATGAGCATTTCTCATAAATACTCAGTTTTTGAAAGCGAAACAGCATGGTATTACGTTTTTTACACAAGCCCTCATGGCAAAGAACTTTCGATTAAAGTGGATTCAACGTTTTGAGATCTACTGAATCTAATCTCATTTTTGTTATATAAATAGACATTAGTCACCAGACTTCTCACGAACTGGACAAGAACCCATGTGGGTTTTGGAAATAGTTGGGTTTGGATGTTTTTCACTAGTGTTGTTCTAGTTTACCTAGTTTACTTAAAGTTTAGATTGTTGTAATAATTAATAAAGCATACAAACTGCTTCAACTGGGACTTAACAATTTTCTAACGATGCCCCCCCCCCCCCCCCCCCCCCCGCGCTCAAAACGCCGTAATGTTTTCATCGAATTGATGTGATGAATTGAATTGAATTTGTCACGGAGTAAAACATTGAACTAGCTACATATTAATTATTGATAATTGTTAAATATCTCCTCGTCAAAAGTTTGTCGCGAGTTTTTTAAAGTACAGTTGACGATGTGCGGCTTGATCAAAGATCAAGCGATTATTTTCTCCACTCAAAAGGATATATCGAGTTGTATGTTGATTTACAAAGTACAACTCAAGTTGTAAGCAGGTTGCAGGCGACAGTTTTAGGCTTGTGTAGTCTAAATTCGGCTTCACAGTATTTCGAAAGACCTCTAAAGTTAGGCTTCGTAATACGACACGTCGACACAAACGCGCTGAGCCATCAGACTGTCATTGATATTGGAAAAATTGTACAAATACTTGATTATTCGTACAACAATCTTTCAGTCCCAACAAGGAAGCGGTCTCATCAGTCATTTCAAATGACCAAACCCACTTCTCAACATGTAGACACAAGCACTTGTCTTGTAAGACAAGTAAAAAAACTTAATTCATATTTTAGTCGATTAAAATAGGCGTCTATTTAATTGTGATACAAACAGGCGTGCATTTCACGAGCTGTACTTAAATAACTATTATAGATAAGTACTGGAATATATAAAATTGGAACCTATATTTTGGCGACGATACTGTCAAGATATCATAACCTACGACACAAAACACTTGTCTACTTACCCCCAACTCCAAAGGGCATATATGTATACTGTATATTGACTGCTTAGACGGCAACTATGTATACAAGGCACCATGCTTTAATAATTCTCCTGATCATATATTATAACAGCATTTCCAAAGTTAAGTTTAGTAACACGGCACTGACTTTGACTGACATTGTCATTGATATTTCAGAAATTGTATAAATACGAGAGTTGTTCGTAGAACAATCTTTCTGTCCCAACAAGGAAGCTGTCTGGTAACTAGATATTTCGAATGACCAGAATCACTTCACAACCAGTCATAATCACTTTGCACGACAAATAAATGGCTCACACTGACCGCTGTGTATTTTAAAGACATATTTGTCAAATACCAGTGATCACTTGGGAATTTTATAATAATAATGGTACTCTTTACAAAATAATGCGGTAGATTAAGGCAGAGACGGTACAAAGTAATTCCTTAGTTAATTGCTTTTGTAAAGCCTTATTAGTTCCTTTAGATCCTTGTAAAATCATTAATAAATCATGAAAAATTCAAAAGAAATCAATCCACAGATACAAAACTCACCAGATTTGCATAAATTTTTCGGAACACGTCACAATTAAGCGGGTAGCCAATAGTATTCCCTTATTTGCATAGATCATGTACGCGTGTGATATTTGTAATTAAAATTTCGAATTTATTAAATTTCCAAATGTTTGGGTGGATAAAAGATGTGCTATTAACCTGTTTAAATCGGAACAGACAACGGCAAAATCTTATCTATTTGTTAAATTGAAGTAAAACAGCATGAAACAACAATTGTTGAAAAATTATATCATCGCGCTTGTTTACCTTTAATTTCTAAAACAGAACTGTAAAAATATAGCATGTCGCGATATTTGTAAATTGTCTTTTTTGCCAGACTTTATCGAGGCTAATTACATTTTGATATAAGTTGTCTTCGATCGAAATGTATACGTTGTCCAAAGAAACCTAACTGTGATATAATGTCAAACTTTTACTGTTTTATTTTGTGTGTAAATACTGATATTAAAGGGTATGGTACCAGTACTTAAACTGTAGAATCAGTCAGCTTACAAAATTTTTATATTTTTCCGTTATAAAATATTGCAGTTTATTTAACATGGAAATAAGATGACGTCACAAGCTGGGTAAACTTTTTGAAGTCCACAGGACTCTAAAAACTGCATATTTTTGTATGCAAGATTGGTCAATGGAATCATCGATACAGACTTAAATAATCACCTCATCTATATTTTGAACAGTGATCTTTTATAACTTTGGTGTGACTGGCTTTTTTTGAAAATATTTTACCAGCTTGTGACGTCTGACTTAGATTTGCATATTAAACAATCTCAACTATCTGAAGGACACAAAAAGATTCGTACTGCCAAAAAAGACTTGAATTTCATTTATATGTTTCCTGTATATGACTATATAGTACTCAGCCTTTGCGCTAAACAGTAGAATTTTGCTTGTAAATTTATACCTTCTTCGCTCGTGTAAACTGCAAAAAAATTCAACGGTAATTGACCTAAAAACAACTTTATATATACAGCTATTTCAATTAAGGTTGTCCACGAGCAAAGCGGAAAAGTCGAATGCGAGCGCGAAAGGCTGCTGGGAACCACTTTGAAAATTCATTAATTTGTTAGCGATTCCCAGCAGCTTTTGGCGCTCGTATTCGACTTTTCCGCTTTGCTCGTGGACAACCTTGATTGAAATAGCTATATACAGTCGCACCTCTGCAGTCGCACTATGATGACAAGAGATTACTTAGCAAACAAAACAGACATAAAAAGTATGTATACAATTATTCCTTTCTGATTCGTTCACTTAATACTTGCGTTCATTTTTTCGTTTTCGTTTTTTTCGGCGCTGGCTTCATGACTCCCACAACTTCCGCGTATTCAGTAGGTTGGCTAGATTGATCCTGGCTTTCATTTCCGTCTTGACTGCCAGAAACCAACCGTGAAGGATCCATGTAGTTTAAACCATTAATCTGTAGATTGAAAATACGTCACTTATATAAAAGTATATAGTTTGTGTCAATCATGGCACATTAGCCGTTAGTGGATAAAGCTACACACGTAAAAATCTCACAACTTGTCAACAAGATGTGTTCGCAACAGGCGGCTTGTAGCAAGCTTGTCAACAAGTTGTAACAATGCTGTCATTTTATCAAGTTGCTACAAGGTTGTCACTCACAACTTGTTGGCAAAGTGGTGATTTGCAGGACGATAAGATAACAAATTGTTGGAACAACTTGTTACAAGTATGTTGAGCTCAACAACCTTGTAGCAAGTTGTCAACAAGCCGTTGGCAATTTGTCAACAAGCTGGGAACAAGCAGTGCGAACACATCCTGTTGACAAGTTGTTGGAACAGCATTGCTACACGTCCGCTGCAGGCTTGTTACAACTTGTGCGTTTTTACGTGTGTACACGCGTAAAAATCTCATACTGTAGCTTGTCAACAAGATGTGTTCGCACTGCTTGTTTCCAGTTGTTGACGAGTCTGGAACAAGTTGTTATCATCTTGTAATAAGGTTGATGAGGCCAACAGACTCGCAGCAAGTTAAGTTGTTCCAACAAGCTTTCCAGCTGATATCGCCTGCACGTAACAAGTTGTTAACAAGTTGATTTTTCAAGCCTGCCCGGTGTGGATATACACTCAGAGTAACATATCACACAAGCATCTTATCCTGAGTACATTACACCAACACAGCAAATATCACAATTTCAAAAGTACTGAATTTAATAGCCCAGCTTAGTTTAGTTTAGATTAAATAATTTCTGATGCTGTTGTATCACTTTTAAGCATTCATCTCTTTACATTAATAAACATTTTTACCTTTTTAGTATTTTTATTTTTATTCGGCAGAGCATACAGATCTCCGTTAACATCAACCCGTTCGATATCAGCATTATTTTCACTTGTATTTTTATCTGGCATTGAATAGGCAGAATCTGCAGTGGCGACATTCACCTCTTTCTTTTTGACATCAGGAGTTTCATACCCAGGCTCGGGATAAGAATTAACGGGATTGATTTCTCTTTTTTTGAAATCAGGCGTTGCATATCCAGGATTTACTTGAGAATCAGTTCCAAACGTTTCGTTTGTGTCCCCGATTTGTCCATCTGCATAAGCATCTGGCCCTCGTAGATTACTGTCTGTGTGTCTGAACTGCTTCAGGCCTGCAGTACCTACATAAGACACATTGTTCAGAAAACCTCAGTTGTACTAACTTACTGATACGCATGTGTTGCCTATATATATATGGTGTCCCTAAATGCTCATTACTGTGGGCTATCTTTAAGTGATGCTATGTTGTACAGAACTCACTGCTGAGTTAAGGTCCAGACACACCGGACGCGATTCGACAACGCGACGCGATTTTTCGATTTTCACTGACCGATAACTTTGATCCTAGTTTAAATTTTCCAAATATTTAGAAGCGTTACAACATTTTGAGTTATTTGGTATACATATCTTTTAAAATTTGCTCTCATTGGCTGTTTTATTAACTTTCAAAAACTGAAAATTCGCGTCGTCCGGTTGTCGAATTGCGCTCGGTGTGTATGGACCTTTCATGGTTAGATCATGTGAGGTAGTACATGTTTTTGAACGTGGGGTATCTTAATAAAGTGATGTGATGTTGTACAGAACTCACTGCTGAGTTAAGCATGGTTAGATCATGCAGAGAACTCACTGCTGAGTTAAGCATGGTTAGATCATGCAGAGGTAGTACATGTTCTTGAATTTGAGTTACCTTAAAGTGATCTGATGTTGTACAGAACTCACTGCTGAGTTAAGCATGGTTTATACCTGTAGATCATGCAGAGGTAGTACATGTTCTTGAATGTGAGTTACCTTAAAGTGATCTGATGTTGTACAGAACTCACTGCTGAGTTAAGCATGGTTTATACCTGTAGATCATGCAGAGGTAGTACATGTTCTTGAATGTGAGTTACCTTAAAGTGATCTGATGTTGTACAGAACTTACTGCTGAGTTAAGCATGGTTTATACCTGTAGATCATGCAGAGGTAGTACATGTTCTTGAATGTGAGTTACCTTAAAGTGATCTGATGTTGTACAGAACTTACTGCTGAGTTAAGCATGGTTTATACCTGTAGATCATGCAGAGGTAGTACATGTTCTTGAATGTGAGCTACCTTAAAGTGATCTAATGCTGTACAGAACTCACTGCTGAGTTAAGCATGGTTTATAGATCATGCAGAGGTAGTACATGTTCTTGAATGTGAGTTACCTTAAAGTGATCTGATGTTGTACAGAACTCACTGCTGAGTTAATTTAAACAATTACATAGTTTGTGCATACCATTGTTTTTGCCGGAACTTCCATGACTTGAATTTCCTTGCCTGTTGTAATAAATATCAAGAAAAACTCAAATGGAATTAGACTCTCTATTTATTTCGTCCTCATTGATAACTAAGCGAAGCTTTTCGTTGTTCCAATTGAAAGAAACATCAAAACTTTAATTTCTTTAATTTACCTTTGTTGATATTACGTCACACATTGCATGATAATAAAATTATTAAAATTTTTAAAAGCTTACATATTTCTCTTCTTGCGTTTACACAACCACCATACAACGACAACCAAGACTATCAACAATACTACAGGTACCACAACAGCTATGATAACAAATGTTCCAGAGGAATCATCATCATCACTGCTCGACACTTCACTCGGAGGATTGGAACGAGCTGATGACTTAGATGACGTTGTCATGGTATCAGTTGAACTGGCGTCAGAAATATATGTTGTTGGCTGCTCAGTAGTAGGTGCATCTATTAATAAAGATGGCATGCATGCAAGCCCGATAACTATTAGCAAGTTTAGGGCACCCCTTTTATTGAAAACAGTATAATCCAAACAATATAATCCCCTGAATAATAAAAACTTTAACTCAACTGTAAATATATGTATTTATGCTAAATAATCCGTCAATGTCAATCCTTTTTAATCCAGTGTTAATATAAGAGAAAACCTGAACTAAACTGGTAATATATATAGTAACCCTTAATAAACTAAATTAACTTTATTTATACCAGATAACTCTATCAGTTCTAAACTGTTCTCCCTATAGAGGTCCAGTAAGGATTATCTCTTATTTAATAGTATAATTTAAGTATTCAAAAATGGCCTTTGAACATTCTGATTGGCCCCCTTTGCACTCTGAGGCAATAGTTACTGCTCAGATTGCTTTTCCCAAAAAAATGTCTGAAAATCAGACGGAAGTAAATTTCAAGTTTATAAATTATACTAAAAAAAAATAGATGATATTACACGGCGGCG